CCCACCTGACCCAAACACATACCAGTCTACGGCCTCATCAAAACCCAGGCCCCAATTGGCCAGCCGGGTGCTGCAGTGCTCTGGCTGCTGCTGGAGGCTTGGCTTTAACTGATCAAAATGATTCCCCTTCTGCTCCATGGTTACAGCCTTTTAGGTCACGGGGGTGCCTGATGGCCTCGAGATAGATGGGATGGCTGGCTGCGTCTGATTGCTGCCCGCTGACAAGGGTCTTGACCCCACCTGCAATTCTCCGGTCACCCCTGCAAGCCCTTTCTAACAGCCAGTGACCTTCTGCAGTTCAGGCACAAGCCTCTTAACCCAAAAAGATGTAAAATGCGACAGCTGGGGAAGACAAACTCCTCTAGGAGAATCCATCCATATTCCTCTGCCTAAAACCAGCCTAACTAGAGTGGAGAAGGTTTGGAATACAGTGACTGACCCAGCAGGAACGGCTCCAAGGTGTGGTTTCACAGGCTCTTTAAGCACCGTCACACCATTCAAAGCCTATTGACTTCAGTGGACTTAGAAAGGCGTGGCTTTGTTTAGGATTGCTTGGCAGTCGTTCTCCGGTTCTCTATGCAAACGTGCAGGAAGAGGACTCCTCCGCCATAACAGCCCACAGGACAGCACGGGCCTGCTCCCCTTCCTCCGTTCCAGCTGGAAGTCTGAATTTACTAACTGGGGAGAGATGTGAATTCCTTCTCCTTGGCCTAAACTCATGCTGGGATCTGTCAGCCATGGAGAAATCTACAGTGCCTCCCAGCCAAAACAATCTAATCTCAAAACCTTTGTTCGATGCACATCTGTGGCCTAGTTCTCACTGAGGTGGAAAACCCGTTTCTGGGCTAGGTTGCTTCAAACGGCAGGTGAGGACTTACATGGTTGACTGCTCATCAGGATGAAATAGGTTTTTCCATGGGCCTAGAAAAAAAGCATGTCGAGTAAAAGGCCAGACCTAACCTTTGTCCTGACATGCTAGCTTTCCTATATGCGGGGATGAATTGATTGATTGCATACCGGAACATTTGACTTAGGGTTTTGTTCAGAGTACCAGTCTGGTGCAGTGGCTAGGGACTAGGACTTCTCATGGTCCCGGCCCCACTTGGCTACGGAAATCACTGGGGTGATTTTGGGCCGGTTGCTCTCAGCCCACCCTACCTTGCAGGACTGCTGTGGGCACAAAATAGGGGAGAGGGCTGTATATATTCTTTAGGAAAAGAGAATCCATATTTAAACCTGTAGTATATCCTCTATTTGATTGCTCTGTTTCCTCTCCCCATTTTGAACCTGTCCCCTCTTTCGTTTCCTCCCCTCTGCTGGAGATAATGGCAGCTTGCAGGGTGGAGGGATAACTACCAGAAAAACTGTATTGGGGGAAAGGGGTACTCTCCACCAGAGCCATGGCCACTATCTGCGTACCCCCAGGCACAACTGCTTTTTAAAGTGGGAAAGGGCACTGGGAGATCGGGTCATAAATCTCTGATGTATCATACAAATGCTCGAAGTGTCCGAGGTAAAATCGGGGAGTTGGAGTGCTTGGTGTTGGAGGGAAAAATAGACATTGTGGGTATTTCAGAAACTTGGTGGGATGAGGAAAATCAGTGGGATACAGTGATTCCTGGTTATATATTATATCGGAAAGATAGGAGGGTAAGGGTTGGAGGTGGGGTGGCTCTGTATGTCAGAGAGGGTATAAAGTCCAGAAAGATTGAGAGGCTAAGAGAATTGGATTCGATTCTGGAAATTCTATGGGTTGAAATAGGGGGGCCAAAAGGAAACTTAACACTGGGAGTTTGTTATCGCCCACCAGATCAAAAGATAGAGGAGGATTATAAAATGATGAATGCCTTAAAGATAGCAACTAGACAAAAACACTGTGTAATAATAGGTGATTTTAACTACCCACACATTGATTGGGTCAATATGTGTTCTAGTCGGGAAAAAGAGATTGAGTTTCTAGACACTCTAAATGACTGTGCTATGGAGCAGATGGTCACGGAACCTACCAGGGGAGAGGCGATCCTTGATTTGGTCCTAAGTAACACTCAAGACCTGGTGAGAGATGTAAAAGTGATTGCACCGCTTGGAAACAGTGATCATAATGTTGTTGAGTTCATCATTTGTACAAATAGAGAATTGGCCAAAAAGACTCACACAACCATTTTTAACTTTAAAAGGGGTAATTTCTCTGATATGAGGGGACACGTGGGGAGGAAACTGAAAGGAAAAGTAGAAAGGGTCAAAACAATTGGGGAAGCTTGGGATCTATTTAAAACTACGATCCTAGAAGCTCAAAAAATATATATTCCGCAGGTTAGGAAAGGCACAAACAGGTATAGGAAAAAGCCTGCATGGTTAACAAACAGAGTAATGGAGGCTGTAAAAAGTAAAAAGAATTCCTTTAAGCAGTGGAAAGCTAGTCACAGTGAGGCTGATAAAACGGAACACAGGCTATGGCAAATAAAATGCAAGTCTGAGGTCAGGCAGGCAAAAAGGGAATATGAGGAGCATATAGCAAAAAACGTAAAAACCAACAATAAAACTTTCTTCAAATACATTAGAAACAGGAAACCAGCCAGGGAGGCAGTGGGGCCCTTGGACGACCAAGGGGTAAAAGGAGTATTGAAGGATGATAGGGAAATGGCTGAGAAGCTAAATGCATTTTTTGCCTCCGTCTTCACTGTGGAAGATGAGAAGTGCTTGCCCACTCCAGAACCACTGATTTCAGGAGGGGTGTTGGAAGACCTGAGTCAGATTGAGGTGATGAGAGAGGAGGTCCTAAAACTGATAGACAACTTAAAAACTGAAAAATCACCAGGCCCAGATGGCATACATCCGAGAGTTCTGAAAGAACTCAAATGTGAACTTGTAGATCTCCTGACAAAGATATGTAATCTTTCCTTAAAATCTGCCTCCATTCCTGAGGATTGGAAGGTAGCTAATGTCACTCCCATCTTTAAAAAGGGTTCCAGAGGAGATCCGGGAAATTACAGGCCAGTCAGTCTGACGTCGATACCGGGTAAATTGGTGGAAACCATTATTAAGGAAAGAATTAGTAGGCACATAGATGAACAAAACCTATTGAGGCAGACTCAGCACGGTTTCTGTAAGGGAAGATCTTGTCTCACTAACCTGTTAGTGTTCTTTGAGGGGGTGAACAAACATGTGGACAAGGGGGATCCAATAGATATTATTTACCTTGACTTCCAGAAAGCTTTTGATAAAGTTCCTCATCAAAGGCTCCTAAGTAAGCTCAAAAATCATGGGATAGAAGGACAAGTCCTTTTATGGATCAAAAACTGGCTAGTTCATAGAAAACAGAGAGTGAGTGTAGGTGGGCAATTTTCTCAGTGGAGGGTGGTAAGCAGTGGGGTACCGCAGGGATCAGTACTTGGTCCACTGCTTTTTAACTTGTTCATTAATGATTTGGAGTTGGGGAGTAAGCAGTAAAGTGGCTAAATTTGCGGATGATACAAAGTTGTTCAGGGTGGTGAAAACCAGGGAAGATTGTGAGTGTTGTTCGGGGTGGTGAAAACCAGTGAGGATTGTGAGGCACTCCAAGGGGATCTGTCAAGGATGGGCGAGTGGGCGTCAACATGGCAAATGGGGTTCAATGTGGCCAAGTGCAAGGTGATGCACATTGGAGCCAAAAATCCTAAATATAAATACACATTGATGGGGTCTGAACTGGCAGAGACTGATCAAGAGAGAGATCTTGGAGTTGTAGTAGATGTCGAGACAGTGTGTGACTGCAATAAAGAAGGCCAATGCTATGCTGGGGATTATTAGGAAGGGTATTGAAAACAGATCAGCCAATATCATAATGCCGCTATATAAATCAATGGTGCGACCTCATTTGGAATACTGTGTGCAGTTCTGGGCACCACACCTTAAAAAGGATATTATAGCTTTGGAAAAAGTGCAGAAAAGGGCAACTCGAATGATAAAAGGGTTGGAACACTTTCCCTATGAGGAAAGGTTAAAGCGCTTCGGGCTCTTTAGCTTGGAGAAACGACTGAGGGGAGACATGATTGAGGTTTATAAGATTATGCATGGGAAAGAGCAGGTAGAGAAAGAGGTACTTTTCTCCCTTTCTCACAATAGGGTTAGGGTTCATGGGCACTCCATGAAATTGCTGAGCGGTCGGGTTAGAATGGATAAAAGGAAGTACTTCTTCACCCAAAGAGTGATTAACACTTGGAATTCACTGCCACAGGAAGTGGTGGTGGCTACAAGCATGGACGGCTTCAAAAGGGAATTAGATAAGTATATGGAGCAGAGGTCCATCAGTGGCTATTAGCCACAAGGTATAGATAGGGGCTCTGGGGCAAGTGATGCTCTGTCTTCTTGGTGCTGGGGGGGGTCAACAGTGGGAGGGCTTCTAATGTCCTGGCCCCAATGGTGGACCTGATAGCACTGGTATTTCTGGCCACTGTGTGACACAGAGTGTTGGACTAGATGGGCCTTTGGCCTGATCCAACATTGGCGTCTCTTATGTTCTTATAGGTTCATAATTGTATCCAGCCTATGGCGTTGGCACACCAAAAAGTGAGAAGACACTGGAGCTCTCTTGCCTTATATGTTCTCAGATCCATTAAGGAAAAAAACCCTTTCAAAACTGGAAGCCTTTTCCAACCAGCTTCCCCTTAGATTCAGGGGGGTAGCCCTATTGGTCTGAAGCGATAGGACTAAGTTGGAGTCCAGTGGCACCTCTCAGACCTACAAGTTTAATTCTGGGTATAAGCTTTCGTGTGCATGCACCTGAAAACGTATGCACAGAATTAAACTTGTTGGTCTGAAAGGTGCCAGTGGACTGGACTCCCAACTTTCCCTTACTTGGGTAAGATTTTCCAGCTCCCGTTTCATCCTTGTTCTGTTTGGGATTCTCTGGGTTGATGTGAGCACGTGTGTATTGGGGGGGAGTGAGGGAAGAGGGCATGTGCTCTAAGGAGGGCTTGGCTGGCTTTTGGTGCATGTTCTCATTGAAAGTTTGTGCTTTGGGGGGAGGGAGTGGCCCACAGAGCCTCTCTGCAGCTGCTCCAGATTCCTCCGTGGCACTGCAGGGGGACATAGAGCCGAGGGAAGGCATCAGGCAGCCGGCTTTCTGCAGCCCTGGACAGGAGACCCCAGCCCGTGACGATGCTCAGATGGAGTTTCTACACAACCCTCTCCGGGGCTTTCCTCCTCATCCATGCTTTCCCACACACCAATATCAAAATCAGTCAAGGTGAGTAGAAATCCTGTTTAATCAAAATCTGATTAAACCAGCCCCCCCAGTGCAGCTTGGTTGAGATTTTCATCTAGTTGGGAGCCGGTATGAATGCCAAATCTCCCTCCTAGTCTTTCTCCCATTAGTTAATTAAGCGGCAAGACATGGCAATAGATGGCTTAGCAGGGATTGAGGGGTGTTTAAAGGCAATGTAAACTTTCCCCCTGTAATAATTTGACACCTTGAACTCACCTTTTCACCCAGGGTCTCTTCCTATCTTTATCGACTTTAATAGCGTCATCGTAAAATGAATGGAAAGACAGCTACAAAGGGAGGTCATTTATGAATTGCCAAGGTGTCTGTCAACCTCATTTCCAGACTGTGTTTGTAGTGATAATGCACAGTAGCGTAAATGCACTGATCTATTCATATAGCTAAGTGCTGGAGGGATTCTGTATTGCTAAAATGCCAAATGAATGAGTTCTGAGGACCCTTTCTGCATGCTTTTAACTTTCTCTAAAGCCCATGGGTGCAATCCGGAGAAAAGTGAAAGAAGTCCTATTGAAATGGAAGGCAAGGCAAACCTTTCTTTGTGCACAATCCACAGAAAATCTATGAACTGCAAATAGAGTTTCTTTTGTTTGGTTTTTTTAATGTATTTATGGAAGGGATTGGTATCTTGCTCTGCCTGCATTCAAGGCAACTAACGTAAAACAAACAAATCCATTTAAAAAGGTTAAAAATGGGGGGAGGGGATTCAAACTGACAAAACTTTTTGTTCTCAAAACATTCCTGACAATCCTTCAGCGACGGTTCAAACGCCCAAAGACACCCCCCCCTTTTGAATTATAGATTAAAAACTAATTTTTTAACAGATTTTACAACTTCTACAAAGTTGTTGCCATTTTCTATGGGTAGCTGCACTCTGTTTAGGACTCTACTGTAAGAGAACCCTAAACAGAGTTACGGCTTCTAAACTGATTGACGTTACGGAGCTTAGAAGGGTGCAACTCTGCGTAGGGTTGCACTATCAACCAGTATCTCGGGCGCCCTGTTTCCAAACAGCTGTTCCCATTGGACAGCTAAGTGTGCCCTCCTGTTTGAGTCATGAAATTACTCGAGGAGCGGCAATTTTTTCCCAACTTTCATCAGAGTAGGACAGACAAGGCAACCCCATGTGGAGTAATTCTGTTCTATGGCCGTTGAAACCAAAGGATGTAGACTGGAGTGACTTTGCAGAGGGCGGCACTGTGAGACCCGATCTCACAAGAGAATAAAGGACAAATACCGTAGCTAAAAAGCTATTGAGAGTCTTCACTGTAGGTTGTTTTTTTAAATTATGATTATGGTTAAATGAGAAACAGAAGCCAAATGGTCACCCCCTTCCTTTAAGCCAGTTCTCGCTGCCCCACTGTATTCCCACAACATCCCTGTGAGGTAGGTTACATTGAGAGGGAGTGATTGGCACAAGGTTGAGGGATCTGGACCCGGGGCTCCTAGATCCTCTTTGCCCCTCCGCTGAGGCTTCCAATAGGCTGCCCGGCCTTGTGTGTCTTTTTTTCAGGTGCTTTTCTGTGTTTCATTGATCTGATGTTTGGCAATGTATTTATTTCAAAGTCAAGCGATCCCTCCCCGTACGCTTGCAAAACGGCTATTATGTGACTTTGACTGACACACACCGTTCACCCAATCAGTGCTGTACACAGTCCCTTCGGCTGCAGCCCAGAAGAACAGGTTACCCCTGTATTCTTTCTCGGGGGAGAAAGAGGTACATCTGCCCCCTAAAACATGGGGCGTGCATTTCCATAGCGAGCTCACCAATAATATGACACCCATCTAACCGCACTCAAGTCGCCTCCCCCCCCCATAAGTAATGGGCCCTTTCCAATGTTCTCTTTTTTGGCCGTATTCTCCCAAGACTCCTTTACCTACAAGCAAAACAATGAAAGAGGTATGTGGGTGCCGTGCATGGGTGACTGCGTTAATGGGGGAGCTGGGACGCAGGGCGGGAAAGGGAGCTGAAGTAGAGAGGGAGAGGATGACGAAGCAGGAACGGGAGAGTCCACCTGAACCCCAAAGTCTCAGCTCTGTGAACTTCTGCACAGACTCTATTGTATTCAGGGCTCTTTTTGTAGAAAAAGCCCAGCAGGAACTCATTAGCATAATAGGCCTCACCCAACAGCAGGAACTCATTAGCATATTGGGCCACACCCCTGACAGTACAGCTCATTGGCATATTAGGCCGCACCCCCATGTTACCAGAAGTGTGCTCATCCAGCCACACCCACCTTTTGCTTCTTATTCTGTTTACCTTGTTTGTTGTCCAAACCCAGGGCTTTTTTTTGTAGCAGGAACTCCTTTGCATGTTAGGCCACACACCCCTAATGTAGCCAATTTTAATGAGTTTCTACTGTTGGGTGTGGCCTATTATGCTAATGGGTTCCTGCTGGGCGTGGCCAACTTGGGAGCCAGCCGGAACTCCGTTCCTGTGCGTTCCTGCCCAAAAATAGCCCTGATTATATTCCTTTTCCCGAAAGTCCAACTGGCAAATGAAGTCTGGGCCAGCCACAGCACCTCCAATTACTGTAGCTTGGGAGTTAAAAACTCTAATGGTTGTTCTTCCAGAGACTGAGCAGAAGCTACCTGGGGAGCCTTAACAAAGAAGGTGCTAATTAGAGGTTGACCCCAAGTCTGCCTGTCTTCTCCGGCCCATTTAGCCTTCACATTCCTGCAGGCGTCTCCTGTGCGCTGGAGCCGATCAAATTCGCGTCACCTACTGGGGTAACCGTGTAGAATATCAGAAGCACTAAATAGCTTAAATGGGCTTCATTCCCCCTTTTGCTCTGAACTTGGAAGTGTGGGCATGGTCCAGATTCTCCCAAAAGAACCATGCAGGGCACCTCGGATCACTGCCCAAAACTCATTCTCTCAATACCGGACACAGACAGCAGGCATGTGGCCCCCACCTGCCTCAACCGAATTTGTTCAGTCACCCTCCCTAAGACTCCTTTGCCGGAAAAAGTAGGGCGACCCTTTAGCTGTTTTCCTGCAGGTGGGGAAACTGCTGGTAGATTTATTTTTATTGGGGGAAATGGCCTATGTAGAAATCAAATTGAAAGTCACCCCCCTCTTCGTGTTTCCATTTTTTTTGACTTTTTATTCAATTCAATTTATTACAGGTCTTTATGACCGAAGTCTTGACCAAGAAGATACCAAAGGGGGATAAAATAGGTACATAAAATAGACATAAATATGTCAAGGTACATAATAACAGTCACATAAAACCCAGGCTGAGCCCAGAGATTAAAAATAACCTAACTACACTTGGGGCGGAGCCAACTAACTAAAATCATCCGAAGATTAAAAATCGGTGTCGAAGTTTTCAGAAGTGCTGGACTTTTCAATGCTTCTTGAGAGCAGCCACCTTAGCCAGGAACCGCGCCACGTTAGCTGTTATCAGTCCATCGGCATTTGAGTCAGATAACAGTACTGAGAGCACCCAAGGTTGCGCGGGAAGATTCAATTTGTGTTTCCATTTTTTTTAAAAAAGGAGGAACAGTTCATATTCTTGCGCATTCATTCCAGTGTGACCTGAATGTGGTAATGCTAAAAGTCAAAGCAATCGATGAGTACGGCCATGGTTCCATGGTACAGCGTCTGCTTTGCTTACAAAAGGTCCCAGGTTCAATATCTGGCACCTGCAATTAAGAAGAAGAGATTGGATTTATACCCCACCCTTCACTCAGAGTCTCAGAGCGGCTTACAAACTCCTTTCCCTTCCCCCTCCCCACAACAGACACCCTGTGAGGTGGGTGGGGCTGAGAGAACTCTTTCCAGAACTGTCCTTGAGAGAACAGCTCTGACAGAACTATGGCTTGCCCAAGGTCATCCAGCAGCTGCAGGTGGAGGTGTGGGGAATCAAACCCTGACCTCCCAGATTAGAGTCCGCGCACTTAACCACGACACCAAACTGGCTCTCAAAGACCAGGCCTGAGACCCAGGAGAGTTGATGCCAGGAAGAGTAGACAGTACTGACTAATGGTCTGACTCTGTTATGAAGCAGCTTCCTAGGTTCATTCCAGTCAAACTACACCCCATAAGAAGAGCCCTGCTGCTTTAGACCAAAGGTCCATCCATGGAGTCTTGCGCGCTGTTTCTTTTCTGACCCACTGCCCTGATCATGGAAGTTCTAATTAGCCATCCTGACACACAACAGATTTGTCTGGTTTCCTTTTAAAGGCGATGGCCATTACAACATCACGCTAGTTGTTGGTTGTGTGAAGAGGCCCTCGTTCTTTTGAGGAGGGAATTCCTGATAAGGCTCCCTTTGGGAACTGAACTTCTCCTCATGGCCTGTCACCTCATGGAAAACATCCAATCCCTGATTTGAGTGAGATCGACAGGAGGGAATGGGGTAGACTGTTGTGCCTAAAAGACACAGACCTGTTTTTTGTGTGCACCATGGTCTATCTAATCTGTGTTTCTTCTGAGGATGCTTTATCTTTGTTTCCGCTGGCTCCTATCGGACTTTCTTTCTTGCATCGTCTGTAATCTGTAGTGTTGAGACGCAAAAGACATGGCAGCTGCTACTAATTCACTCTGACAACAGTTGGGGGCCAGCTCTTGAAGATAGCAATGGTTTCCTGACCCTCCTAATCTGCTGGCTGGAGCACTTCCCAAGACCAATAGCAAGTGACAGGTGTTACCTGAAACAACTATTTTAAGAGAATTGTGTTGAGGATACACCACCAGAGCTGTAGCTAAGGAGTGTACCACCTGGATCACTGATTCACCCTACCCCACCCAAGAATTCTCCCCACCCCCGGTCACCTATTGAGAGCCAGTTTGGTGTAGTGGTTAGGAGCGCGGACTCTAATCTGGGAGAACAGGGTTTGATTCCCCATTCCTCCACATGCAGCTGCTGGTGTGACTTTGGGTCAGTCACAAGTTCTTCCAGAGCTATTCTCTCACAAGCAGTCCTTGAAAGAGCTCTCTGAGCCCCAACTACCTCACAGGGTGTCTCTTGTGGGGAGGGGAAGGGAAAGGAGTTTGTAAGTTGCTCTGAGACTCCTTCCGGTAGTGAAGAGCAGGGTATAAATCCAATCTCTTCTTTTATTCCACCCACCTTCTAAGGAGCTCAAAGCAGCATATGTGGCTCCTGTTTTATCCTCACAACAACCCTGTGAGGCCGGTTAGGCTGAGAGTATCACCCATGGAGCTTCTTGGCAGTGCGGGGGGCTTGAGCCCTTTTCTCCCGAAACCTAGTCCAACGCTCTATTTATTTATTTATTTATTATATTTATACCCCGCCCATCCCGCCACACTGTTTTTTTCTCTTTCCTTTCAACGAGAGTCATGGTTGTGCCTTAATGCTTCCATTTAGAATTGAGAACCGGGTTTTAGAATGGGTAAATTTCTGGTTTTAAAGGAATCACAGAATCACAGAGTTGGAAGGGGCCCTACAGGCCATCTACTTCAACCCCCGGCTCAGTGCAGGCTCAGCCTAGAGCATCCCTGACAAGTGTTTGTCCAGCCGCTGCTTGAAGACTGCCAGTGGGGGGGAGCTCACCACCTCCCTAGGGCAGCTGATTCCACTGCTGCACAACTCTTGACTGTACAAAAGTTTTCCCTAAGATCCAGCCAGTACCGCTTCCCACCCTTAATTTAAACCCATTCTTGCGAGTCCTCTCATCTGCGGCCAACGGGAACAGCTCCCTGCCCTCCTCTAAGTGACAGCCCTTCAGATACTTCAAGAGAGCAATCATGTCCCCCCTCAACTTTCTCTTCTCCAGACTCAACATTCCCATGTCCCTCATCAGTACCGGTGCGTGCTTCCTGAAATGGTCATGTTTCATTCTCCAGTTCTGCCCATCCTCTGCTCTTCCAGAGTCATGGAGTATAGTTATTTATGACAATATTTATACCTCGACTTTCCTATCACTCAAACTAAGCTATAGTCCTTCTGCTTAAGTGACCCTGAAACAAAGTCTTTTATGTATCTGGACTCTGAGCATGTCAGAGTGCTGAGAAAAAGGTAAGCAGAGGTAAGTTTTCAGCATTAATATTTATTTAACCAAGGTGTAATAAGTAAACCCTTCTGACCCAAAGAATGACTATATCCATTCAACATTTGACATCAGCTTCCAGGCTAGCAAGTTATACACACTTCAAGTATACAGAGCGATTTGAACTTGACAACAGAGTTCAAAAAGTTTTTGTTGCGGTGTAAAGCAACACCGGAGCTGCAGTGGCTCAAGTGGCTAAGACACTGAACTGCAGGTTGTGGAAGGTCGGTAGTTTAGCAGTTCGAGACCTGAGTGTGCCGCATGACGGAGTGAGCTCCCGTCTCTAGTTCCAGCTCCTGCCAACCTAGCAGTTCGAAAGCAAGAAATTGCAAGTAGATTAAATAGGTACCGCTTGGGTGGGAAGGTAACAGCATTCCGTGCGCCTTGGTGTTTAGTCATGCCGGCCACATGACCACGGAGATGTCTTCGGACAGCGCTGGCTCTTTGGCTTTGAAACAGAGATGAGCACCGCCAGGAGTCATTTCGTAGAAAAAGAGCTAGGGGAAAGCATAACTCATTAGCATATGCCACACACCCTGACATCACTGGAAGTGTGACATAAGGCCACACCCCCTGACATCACCGGAAGTGTGTCATAAGGCCACACACCCCGCCCCCAACGGTCCCGGCCGCCACCGCCGGCCTTGCAGCTCCACTGCCGAGCCCCATGAGGGGCCCGGCGGTGGACCTGCAAGGCCGGTGGGAGTGCGAGGAAGCCCCACGAAGGCCCTCCCTGGCTCCAGGCAGGCAGGGGTGGGGAGAGTCAGGGAGGAAGCAACTTATCCTCCCTCTTCTCCTGCCTCCTCCTGGCTGAATGAGGGCCGGAAGCGGGGTGGCCGGAAGCAGGGGGCGGGGCTTCGTCATGTGCCCCGCCCCCGTACCTCACCTGGGGGGAACTGCGATCCCCCGCGATCCCCCCCGAAATGACCTCTGAGCACCGCAACCCTAGAGTCGGATTCGACTGGCTTTCAAGCAAGGAAACCTTTACCTTTACCTTTGTAAAGCAACACTGGTGGCTCTATTCATTTCTTGGTAACCCAACAGGAAATGTGGTGGCCCTGTTGAATAAGGAATCAGCTACAGCTCTGTATGCCGCCTCTAACAGACTTCTCCCCCCTCCCCTTCCCTCAGCTTTGCCAGACCCAATCCTGTCCTACTCTTGTCCTCTCTTCTGGACCGAATTTGAAGGATACTGCTACAGATACTTCCCCATCAATAAAACGTGGGCCGAGGCAGATTTGTACTGTGCAGAGTTTTCCATTGGTCTCAAATCAGCCAAGCTGGCTTCCATTCACAGGTAAGGATTGAACAGCGACAGTCCTTGTTTTGTTTTTGTTTTGTTTTTAATATGAAACATTTATTTAAAGTCGGAGTATGCAACCAATGAAACCTACAGAAAACAGATTTCCCCATTGCAATCTGCTGCTTACCAAATAATGGGAAGACACATTCCTTCGGTCATGATAAAGTTTTCAATACAAAAGAAAATAAGTTTTGTAAGAAAGACTAGTAGACCAGGTACTGTTTTCCTTCCAATATGCTTTGTAGACCCAAAGTCACCCTTCAATACATTCCACGCCATCCACCTCCACCCACGTTGCCTTGTCCATAGTATCCACCGCTATTTCCACTGCCACGGCCATCTCCACCCAATCCATCAGGAGCACCACATCCTCCATTGTAACTGCTGCCCATCCCCATTCTTCCAACAGACCCATAACCACCTTGATCCATTCCGTCCCTCATTCCAGAACCGCCTCCAGCAGTAGAATTCAGGAACCGTTCAAGGTATCGATGTTGCATCTGATTTTTATCTTTAGACATGGCAGCCACTGCATCTTCATGTGTCACAAATTCCACATCTGCCTCTCCCGTTGCTCTTCCATCCGCTCCAATATCAGTGTGTACTCTTATGGGAGTCAAGGGTGAGAAAAAATTAGCAATATCGTTTTCTGTTGCTCGAAATGGCAGTCCTCTCATGTGAACAAAGTGACCGCCATGAAAACCTGAGCTTGCATCTCCTGCTCCACCATAGCCATGGCCTCCCATTCCTCTCCCATCTCTCGTTCTGTCATCATAGCTATCATTTCCATAGCCATAATTGTTATAGCCACCGTAGTCATCAAAACCACCATACCTTCCACGCCCAGCTCCATAATAACCCCCTCTTCCTCCCATTGGTCTATCATATGGTCCAGGTCGCTGTCCCATCATTCTTCATGGTGGGTCATAGAATCCTCAGATTTCACTTTTACTACTTTTGAAGATCTCAATATATCTTGAAAGAACGGAACGATCTCCTCCTTGCTGCAGCCAAATGGCAGACCACGCAATCGTACTGTTCCACCACTAGATGAATCATTTGGACCATTATGTTTCCCAGCCCAGTCCATTTTGTGGCAGCACCTCCCCCACTTCCCCAGCCGATCGGCGCAAACGACAGCGCTGAACTTCCCCCACAAAGAACAAGGAAGCACTTAATGGGCGGCGGACTAACGAACTACACAGCTGAAGCAGACAGGATGGCGTCGGAAGCTCCGACAGTCCTTGTGTCAAAGTCATTTCTACCAGCCTGGCAACCTTCTTGCACACTGTTAGAGTTTGGAAAGTACCCTAAGAAGGATTTTCCTCTGGCGTAGGCCAGGAGCAAGGCCTTCCTCCAGAGAATATTGGGCGGACATGGCTGCCATGCAAGAGTAGCCACTGGAACTCAAAATGGCTTCTTCTGCTAAGGGGCAGAGAGCAGGCTTACGGTGTCACCCAGTGTGTTAAATTATGACAGTCTTGCATCCATGTGAAAATCTGGGGTGGGGGTGGGGGTGGATCTCCCTGGCCCCAGGCTGAGGATGCAACCACTATACAATACTGCCTCCTTTTCTCCAAAACACTCAAGCTTTGTAGACACCAGGTGTTGCAGTGTGTTATATCCGTTGCTCTTCTGGCACATTGCCCAGCACCAAGCAGTGTTGTTTACTCATTACACCAACCCTCTGGTGGATTTCCTCTTTGTCCTACAAACTCCTCTTTGTTTGGCAGCTGGGAAGAGAACGTATTCGTATATGACTTGGTAAACAGCCGCGTACCTGGAATACCCACTGATATCTGGATGGGGCTGAATGACCTAAGGCAGGTAAGAAACCGAAGCATCACAGATCCTGTAAGGAGAGCCCTGCTGGATCAGAACCAAGAGTCCATTCAGTCCAGCATCTGGTTTCCATCAACAGCCAGACATACGGTTCCACTAACAAGACAGGGATGGCCCTCATTCCTTGTATTGTCACCCTAACAACCAGTGTTCAGAGTTATTCTCTCTGAAAACAGGGAGATTCCATTTATCTATCATGGCTAGTGGTCACTGATAGCCCTATGGCCTAGGAAGTTGTCCCAACCATTTAAAAAAACATTAAGGGCCGAACCCAGGGCTATTTTTGGGCAGGAACGCACAGGAACAGAGTTCTGGCTGGCTCCCAAGTTGGCCACACCCAGTAGGAACTCAGAATTGGCTACATTAGGGGTGTGTGGCCTAACATGCAAAGGAGTTTCTGCAACAAAAAAAGGTCCTGGGTTTTGACAACAAACAAGGTAAACAGAATAAGAAGCAAAAGGTGGGTGTGGCTGGATGACCACACTTCTGGGAACATGGGAATGCGGCCTAATATGCTAATGAGTGGTGCAGTCAGGGGGTGTGGCCTAATATGTTAATATGTTTCTGCTGCTGGGTGTGGCCTATTATGCTAATGAGTTCCTGCTGGACTTTTTCTACAAAAAAAGCCCTGGCCAAACCAGATGAGCTGCTTACAGGTGTTCAATTAATGGCATTCTTGCTGTTTTTTCTTCCAGATGTTAGGTACGTGAGGGGGCCAGTTCTGATCAGGACTGTGAGGGGAGACTGCACCATTTCCTTGTCCTGAAATAACCATTAAACAGGGCTGATGGTGGTTCTGTGGGGCCTCTTGAGCTCAAGGAAACACAACAGTGGAGAAAGTCCAGCCTTCCCTTATGGTTCCAGTCCGAACTGGGCCATGGCATGCCTCATATTTGTCACGTGAGGAGGTGGGGTTGTAGGGCACTGGGCAAGACCGTGAGAACTCCGTTCATAGAATTGCCAGTCTCTCACTTTGTTTGGCTCTAAATCAGTGGCCATCACCACATCCTGTGTCAGTGAATTCTGTAAGTTAACTCAACAACATTCTCCTTGGGGGCCTTCTGATTTGAGCAGGGCCATCGAAATGGTCCAGAAAAAGTCAGTAACCTTTTGTCCTTGGACTCCTTTCTGAATATTTCTGCCATTCAGATCTGGAAAGCACTGCCTGCCTTGGCCAAATTCCTGTCAGCAATGACAGAATAAAGCAGATCTCAGATGGGTAGCTGTATTAATCTGTGGCAGTGCAAATAAGAGAGTCCAGTGGCACTTGGAAACAACAACCTTCCATGGGTAAGAGAGCTCATTTTTGTCAGGCACACAAAGTGATCCCGTAAGAGGTAAACATATACGTCTGGGATGAAAGAAAAGAGTGAGACTATCCATCTGTATATTTTCACATCATCTGACGACATCTAGTGTTTTCCTGAGTGGCAAATGACTGCGGCATCAAGGGTCTTGTGTGACACCTTAAGGACTCAGCACATTAGTTGTGACGTGAGCTTCACTCTCCACTTGGGATTTATGTTTCTGTCCATTCAGGGATGCATCTGATGCTGCTGCCTCTACTTATTAAAATCTACTCCCTTCATGGAGGGCCATTGAACTGAACAAGACAGTTCACAGTGGGCCTCTCAAAACAGCCATGTTTGTCCATAGAACCCCAAAAAAGGGTGTGTGCGTTTTTTCTTAGGATAAAATACTGCAAAACATTTGTAGGGCACAATCCTGTCCCCAGTGCTTTCCAATCTCTATGTAAGGTCCATAGGACAAATCATTCATAGTGTTGGGATTGGATGTCATCAGTATGTTGACAACTCCCAGCTCTATAGCTTCTCTAAATCTCCTGGTGATGAGGTAGAGGTCCTGAATTGTTGCCTGCCTGTTGTGGTTCAATGGCTAAGAGTGAACAAATGGAAAATAAATCCTGATAAGCCAGAGGTGTAATGCTGGTTGGGAAGGCAGGAGATCTTCAAGAACATTGTGCTTCCCATTTTCGATGAGGTTCAGCTAACACGTGCTGGCCCAGTTAAGAGCCTTGGGGTTATACTAGATGCGACATTGCTGCTGGAGAAGCAAGTGAGTGCAGCTTCAAAAAGCACTTTCTCCCAACTCAGTCTGGCCTGCAAGATGGTCACCTACCTTGACACAGCCGAGGTGGTCACCTGGATCCTGCCACACACCAGTGTCAAGACTACACTACTGTAATGCCCAGACAACTTAGGCCTCCCTTCAAAGTCAGTTCAGAGACTCCAGCTGGTGGAGAAATCGACAGCTTGTCAGAGGCTAGGCAGAATGTGTGTGTATCATTCCCGTTTTGCAGTGACTCCATCGGTTGCCCACCAGTTACCTGGCTCAATAAAAGGCACTGACTATCGTATACAAAGCTTAATTATTCAGGAGGGCATTTTTATTCAGGTCATAGGGCTGTACTGTAATAAAGTGGTTCAGAAAAACCCTTTGGTAAAGGGATAGGGAGTGTGGGCTATACTGCTGTGTATAGTACATACTGTCTGTTGCTTTAAGTATGATCTTACAATGTAATTTCAGCATTGTTCAATGTGTTGTGTTAATGCTAATGCTTTGTTTCGGCTTCATTTCAGACTTCTGCAACCCAAATCCTATTGCCTTGTTTCTGGATGTCCCATACTGTTGATTATACTGACTTACGCTGCGTGATCCGCTTTGAGTCTCAGTGAAAATGGCAGACCATAAATAATATGAATAAATTCTCTAGAACATCAGGCTGGGTGTTTAATAAAAAAAAAAGGAGGTGGGAACAAATTTCAGCCCACCATGGTCCACTTTTTGCAAGATATGTTGCCGGCTTAATTAGATTAGGTGGCGCTGATTGGAGCTGGTTTCAGATTGCACAGCAAGGAAAGCGGCCATCTGGGCAGGGAGTGTACTTCCATCTTTGAGCTCTCTCCCCTGATGGCCAGCCTGATTTAATCATGGTCATTCCCCCTTGGGTGTTATCCAGGTATAATTTCTCCTTGGCTCAAGTTACAAGGCTGAATATCAACGTTCTCAGGATAAAGCCCAATGTCTTCATCCTTTGATTTTTCCACCTCTGTTGGATAAAGGCCATGACAACATCATTTCAGCTCTGTTTCCATCCGTAACTCCCTGGTGATCTCTTTGGCAGGAAAGCAATTTTGAATGGACAGATGGCTCATCATATGATTATAACTACTGGGACGGCAACCAGCCAGATGATGGGATCCTCTCTAAACCAGAGGATGAAGACTGTGTCCAGATCTGGTATAGATACAGCAGTGGTAGGTGGTATATGTATATTACACCAGGGAAAAGGAAAAATTAATGGGGAAAACTTCCCTCCCGAGACATTTTTTTTAACAGAAAAATTGGAAATTTTGGGGAGTACTGGGGGGAAAAATGAAATATTTTCTCTTTTAGAATGAGTGAAATGCTTTTAAAGACAAGGTGGGCATGCTGTAGATGAAGACAACTCTTAAATCTTAAAGCAATTTTTCTCCAGGCTAGTTTGGCCAAGGATCCTGGAGGTTTTTGTCATCTTCTGGGCATGGAAGAGTGGTCACTGCGGGTGTGGAGGGGGAGATATTGTGAATTTCCTGCATTGTGCAGGGGGTTGGACTAGGTGACCCCGGAGGTCCCTTCCAACTTTATTATTCTGTGATTCTATAAATCCAAGATGCATTTCTGCACCTAGAAAGATACCTAATCTCCATGAGGGCTTTCATTGCTTTTCGCCTGTTGCATGCCTTCTGTTGCCCTGTTGATCTGACTTGTGGTTGACCTTTTTACCTCTCTCTCTCTCTCTCTCTCAAGCCACTGTGACACATATACCCACAGTAGAAAAAAGCAAGAGTCCAATAACACCTTAAAGACTAACAAAGTATGTGGTGGGGTATGAGCTTTCATGAGTCATTGCTCACTTCTTCAGATACAACTAGAATGGGAGTCCATCTGTCCTATTTATTGGAAAGTGGAGTGATTTCAGATGCTGAATGACATTAGCAGGCAAATGACAATACCAGGTGAATGACAATAGCAGGCATGATTAGATTTATGTGAGATATGCAGAGGGGTAATAGGTGTGGAGAAACCAGCATTGGTAATGAGACAGGAAACCTAGGTCTCGATTCAGTCCAGGTTGACTTATTGTCTTGAGCTTCATTATCAGTTCCAATTCAGCAGTCTCTCTTTCTAATCTCCCTTTGAAATTCCTTTGCAAGAGAACTGCTACTTTTAGGTCAGCAACTGAATGTCCTGGAAGGTTAAAATGTTCCCCCACTGGTGTTTGAATGTTGTGGTTCCTAATGTCAGGCTTATGTCAATTAATTCTTTGTTGAAGGAAATGGCCTATTTGTCCAATGTTGACAATGGACAATGGAATAAATCACATTAGAGGATGAGCAGGAATATGAACCTGAGGTGCTGTGGCTGATGTTGCTGGGTCTACTGATAGTGTTGCTAAAATCTATATGACAGCAAAGTTGGCATCTTGGTTTGTTGAAGGCCTTGGTATAAGAAGCCATGTTTCTGTTAAGGAGTTTGTCATTACAGGTGAGAAGTTGTTTTAGGCTGGCAGGCTGTCTCTAAGCAAGAAAAAGTCTGCCTACCCCAGTGCCTGTGTAAGGGAAGTGTCACTATTCAGCATGGGTTGGTCATTAATAATTATTTGAACTGGCTTGACAGTTGTGAGTTGTAGGTGACCATCAGTGGTGTTCTGCTGTTATTCTTCTTGGACTCGTCTTGTAGCAAGCTGTCCCTGGAAATAATTCTGGTAAAAAGTAGCTTATTGCCCTACCTTGCTGGAGGGGGGGGGGAGATCAGAAGGTTGTGGGACAGAAGCACCAAAACCTCAGTAGAAAACCCTAAGTTTCACTAGGAACCGAGCTCTCTCTAACCAGACTATGTACAGGTCCTGAGACAGCACAGTGTGCATCAGCTTGCAGTTTTCTCTCCAGTATTGTGTATATTTGCAATTTTGCTTATAGCAAACTAAGGCATTTCTAATGTCTAAATTCCATAAATATGTCAAATGTTGCAATGCATTTTATGTTGTTGAAACTGATTTTGGTTTGATGGGACTATAAGTATTGCATACTTTTCAAAAAAAACCCCACAAATTTCCATTTTCCCCCCCAGGAAACCCTCTGCTAGGGTTGCCAGGTCCCCTCGTCACTCCAGTGTTGCAATTTGGGGGCATTCCGGGGGTGGGCGGGGATGCCCCAAGCACCGCATGGGCACCCCTCTCCCTCCCCTCCTGCAGAGATTTAACGGGCTTCAGCTGATCGGCGGGGAGCAAGTGGCCACCCAATCAGCTGGAGGGCCCTTTAAATCTTTCAGCAGGGAGGGTTGCCAAAGGGTCCTTTTGCGAGCAGAGCTGTGGCTGGCGACAGCCTCTCTCCCTCCCTGCTGAAAGATTTAAAGGGCCCTCCAGCTGATTGGGTGGCCACTTGCTCCCCGCCGATCAGCTGAAGCCCGTTAAATCTCTGCAGGAGGGGAGGGAGAGGGGTGGCTGCTCTTGGGGGGTGGGGCTTCCCCGCTGACCAGCTGGCTCATGGCGAATTGGAGCCCCCAGCAGTGGGGGAACCCCTGCCAGGACCTGGGGGCTGGCAACCCTTGCCTCTGCCCAGATGGAAGCCTTCTTGTTGTGAGATGGCCCTGCTTGCATAGAATTCTCCAGATAAAATGGACCCATTTCCTTCCCCGTTCTTGGGGAAGTGGCCAGACACCCCTCCGTTTGTTCCTGGTTCCAGCCCTGCTGGGAATTTCTTGCTATAGAACAGGACCTTTGAACCTGTACATCCTTTGTGCTCCCTTTTATTTGTGTGAGCTGCTTGCAGAGCCAACTTTAAAACAAAACAAAACCCTTTTTACCCACATCTCCACCTTCTTCTGTGGACCACTCTATGGCAAAGTCCGGCATACCTAAGGGACCGCCTTTCCCCATATGTTCCCCCAAGGGCACTACAGTCGGGGGGGGGCAACATCTTTTGACTACTCCAGGCCTCAGGGATGCCAAATTCGCCAAGACTAGGGCCAGGGCCTTTTCAGTGGCGGCTCCTACCTGGTGGAATGAGGTCCCAGAGGAGATCTGGGCCCTACGGGATCTTGCGCAGTTCCGCAGGGCTTGCGAGATGGAGCTCGTCTGCCAGGCTTTCAAGTAGGAGCTGCCGCCGCTACTATTCCACCAATGCACCGCCGCCGAAAATTGGCGGAGATACCATCAGGGTGCAAATGGGCCCTGGGAAGAAGACTGGTTATCTGCCATTTTGGAACTTACGTCGTTGGTCCGGATCCACCCTTCCGGATTGTTACGTTTTTATTCTGTTTTTAATTGTTTTAAATATGGCTTTTACCCCAATTGTTAGCCGCCCTGAGCCTTAGGGGAGGGCAGGATATAAATCGAATTATAAATAAATAAATAAATGTTTCGATTGTAAGGTCCTTGGGGCAAAGACCTTGACCACTATAAAGTGGCTCAAGTGGTTAAGACGCTGAACTGCAGGCTGTGGAAGGTCAGTAGTTCAGCAGTTCGAGACCCGGGTGCCGCATGATGGAGTGAGCTCCCGTCTCTAGTTTCAGCTCCTGCCAACCTAGCAGTTCGAAAGCAAGAAATTGCAAGTAGATAAATAGGTACCACTTCGGTGGGAAGGTAACAGCGTTCCATGCGCCTTGGTGTTTAGTCATGCTGGCCACATGACCACAGAAACGTCTTCGGACAGCACTGGCTCTTCGGCTTTGAAACGGAGATGAGCACCGCAACCCTAGAGTCGGACTCAACTGGCTTTCGAGCAAGGGAACCTTTACCTTTACCTTTATTATTCATATTATTCTAACAACAACATCTGTTTACTAGCAATATCTCTTACTATGTTATTTTTATTTTTTCCTCCAACTGCCCTAATCATAAATTGTTAACAACGGGGGGCAGGGGGGCAGGGTTCAGAGGATAGGGTAAGAGGTTTTGTCTCCTAATATCCAGCAATTTTATCTGCTCCTATACAAGTGACGGTTATGAATCATGATGCCAAATGAGAGCTGCTGCATTCTAATATTATCGCTTACTTCTTTGGGTATCAAAGATTTCCGCAACTAAACGCGTGTCTATAAATGCACAGCAGAGAAATTCTGTCAGGGAACCAGATCCCACAAATCCCACCTCACACCATCGCATGCCAAAGTGTCTCTGTTTGGCAGCAGGCACAGGGCGGCATTTTCAGAAACAGATGCTAAAGCAGCCAGGTTGTATCTGGGCTGACTGCAGCTCTTCCATACGAAAAAAAACAAGTTAAAAGGAGTTAAATCAAGCAAGGCAGAGAGGCTCAAACTTCCACCAGTGGGAGAACCAGTCCAGCTTTGCCTAGAAGGGTTGCCAGCAATGTTCCCTCTAAGCTGTGGAGTCTTGTGAGCAAAAATTCTACTTTGTGAGCTACTGGCATTAAAACTGTGAGTGAGCAATTTGGCTACTGCATAAATTCAGGGGTCTTGTTGTAGAAAAAGAGCTGCCGGAGCTCATTAGCATAACTCATTAGCATAACTTATTTGCATATGCCACGCCCCCTGACATCACCGGAAGTGACAGAAGGCCACACCCCCTGACATCACCGGAAGTGTGTCAGAAGGCCCGGCTACTTACCCTCCTGCTTCATCCTCATTCCCAAACGGAAGTAGGATCGAAGCAGAGGGCGGGGTAAAGAAGGGGCCGGGGCTTCACCACGTGACCGCCCCGCCCCCTAGAGGTTCTCTTCCGGAGCTCCGTACCTGAGAGCTCCCCCCCGACTAGAGCCCTGCATAAATTAGTCTGCTCTGGAGCCATCCTCCCTGAGCTAAGATGAAAATGTGTGTGCTGGAGGCTAAAAAACTGTGAGCTAGCTCACACTAACTCAGTTTAGAGGGAAGACTGGTTGCCAGCCTGCTTGTGGACCCTGGAGGTCTCCCGGAATCACAACTGATCTCCAGACGACAGAGCTCAGCCCCCCTGGAGCAAATGGCTGCTCTGGAGGGTGGACTCTGTGGCCCTGTGCCCTCCTGAGGTCCCGCCCCAAACCCCACCCTTCTCAGGCTCCACCCCTAAATCTCCAGGAATGTCTCAACTCAAATTTGGCAACCTTACGAAGCCATCAGCCGATTGTTATTGATGGTGTTGAAAAACCAGCTTCAGTGTGTCAGACACGATGCCATTGATTTAGTTATTTTCTCCTAGCTCCCTGTTAACGTCATTTGAAACTCTGACTCCATGTTTTTACGCTTTCTTTCCCCTTTTCTAGCTTTGCGATCGTGGAACGATAACAGCTGCCACAGAGAATTCCCGTTTGTATGCAAGATTCCCTCCCTGGCTGCTGATTAGCCCTCTCTCGGAAGAGTTTACGGAAGAGCAGCAGCCCCCCCCCCAACCTCTGGACTACAAAGATGGAGTGAGATTGATGTACAAGACACCTTTTCAACAGATCCAAATTAAAAAAAGAAAAAAGCGTTATTCTGCATCTGACTCCTTAAATTCTCCACCTAGCCGTACTCAGAGCTGGTTTGCATTCCGCATGGCTGTGATTAAGCTTCTGATCCAACTCAGGAAGCATCCAGCCATGCAAATATAGTTTTTAAAAACCCAGCTAACTGCAATCTTACCGATCCTTTGATTGGGCATGAAAAGTACGCAAACGGAGAGTGATTTCAGCAAAGCGTACTTTATTCTATCCGGAACAAGACAACTTTGGCCGACTCGCAGGCCGGCTTGTATCCCCCGAGAAACCACCACCCAAAACACACCCCTACTTCCCTTTAGGTTATTTACAGTGGCCGAGAGTCCCATAGGCTCTTGGCTGGGAACCTAGCCCCCTGATTGGAGCAGGCTAGGATCCGCATAGTCCATTGTCTCTTGGAGCGAAGCTCGACTTTTGTCTCTGGACTTGTCTGGACTTGTCTGGACTGGATACATTACTGGGCAGAAGACTGATCCCACTGCTTCACTGACCCTCCAAAACAAGTCATTTGGGACTCCAGTTTTTCTAAACACAGCTAGGTGTGAGCAGCCCCCAAACGGCAAACCCCGCGTCAGCAGAGGCAGCGGTGTGCATGGTTTGTGTGCAACCATGTGTAACCCTGAAGGGATTAACTCTGCACCCAGCTAAAATTCGTAATTTCTCCATCAACTCCTAGCCAGACTGGGGCTTGCCTTTGGTCCTGGGTGAGAAGGGACTAGGGATGAATCCTTCCCTTCTCCATTCCTTTGCTGTACTAGAATTGCTCTCGGGTTTTGTGATCAACTCTTCCGTAATTCAGATTTAACAAGGAGAATTTCTAAAACTCTAGCATAGACAAGTTGTGCTGGCTTTCAGTTCCTTCAGTTCATGTGCATTTCCCCCCCTCCTTCTGTATCTGTATGTGTGCATTGATGAAACACTCTAGTTCCAAGTATGCTCATCAAAGATTTGTTCTTGTGAGGCAAACTTTGATCAATGCACACATTTACTGGGGAAGGGAAAAACAGCCGCAAATGAGCAAGAGGAACTGGTGGGGGTGGGGCAAGCGGGACCTCTGGGTGCAGTTCGGTAATGAACTAAGCAAGGGAGAACTCGCACACCATCGGTTCCATTTCTGAAACAAACCCAGGTACTTCAGGACTCCAAAATCCAGCAAGGAATTCAGAAGGGAATTTCAGACACATTCTCTCAAGGAAACCCCAAGAGGCTGAACAATTTATCACATTTTCAGGTGAGGTGCAGGGGGCGGGGCACATGACGAAGCCCCGCCCCCTGCTTCCGGCCGCCCGGCTTCCAGCCCTCATTCAGCCAGGAGGAGGCAGGAGAAGAGGGAGGGTAAGTTGCTTCCTCCCCGCCTCTCCCCACCCCTGCCTGCCTGGGGCCAGGGAGGGCCTTGGCGGGGCTTCCTCGCACTCCCGCTGGCCTTGCAGGTCCACCGCCGGGCCCCTGATGTTAGGGGGTGTGGCATATGCTAATGAGTTATGCTAATGAGTTCCCCTAGCTCTTTTTCTACGAAATGACCCCTGCTTGAAGCAGTGGCATCTTCCTCTCTCCACTCTTAACAAGGGTCCTGGGAGACAGGTGAGGCCAACAGAGAAGAGCCTTGTGAGGAAACGGGGGGCTTGAAACCGGGTCTCCCTGGTCCTGGTCTGCCCACTCTAACCCCTGCCCTGGGCTAGCTCCTTCTGTAGCTGTGGGGCTTTGGCTGCATGCACACAACTGTTCCCCATTGTGCGGCTTCCATCAGACTGGCAGCAGCAATGAGGCAGCCGCACGTGGTATTCCTCTATATGCACCTCAGTCATGCCCCCGCACCTGGCATCCTTCCCCCATGCACCCAGAGGGCATTTTGCCAGCTTAAAAAAACCAAAACCCTTGGCCAGCACGTGTACACCTGCCGTACTTTTCTTTGGTGAGTATTTTGTGTGTGTGTCTGTGCTTGCGAGCCTGGAAGTCATGGTGACTTCTAGCGAACCCTAGTGGGGCTAGGACAGTGGTGGCGAACCTATGGCACTCAGCCCTCTCTGTGGGCACGCATGCCATCGCCCCAGCCAGGCCCAGACCATCATTAAAGTGCCGAATTCTCTGCCAAATAATTTTAAGTAAATGAAAGCATTTGGGATTGCTTTCCTTACTTCGTTTGGATCATCTTAAGTTAATGTATGAGTTGTTTTTTCTAAAGTAAAAGCTCAGTATTCAGGTTAAATTGCCATGTTGGCACTTTGTGATAAATACAGTATTTTCCGGCGTATAAGACGACTGGGCGTATAAGACGACCCCCGACTTTTCCAGTTAAAATATAGAGTTTGGGATATACTTGCCCAGAGACTGTATTTACCGGCGTATAAGACGACCCCCCCATTTCTGAGAAGATTTCCCTGGGTTAAAAAGTAGTCTTATACACCAGAAAATACAGTAAGTGGGTTTTGGGTCGCAGTTTGGGCACTCGGTCTCTAAAAAGTTCGCCATCACTGGGCTAGGATGTTTCAGAGAGGCAGCTTATATTACCTGCCTCTGTGTGCCAGCCCTGGTATTCCTTGGAGGTCTCCCTCCCAAGTACTTGCCAGGGTCGGCCCTGCTCAGCTTCTGAGATCTGACGAGATCGGGCTTGCCCGGGCTATCCAGGTCCAGGCACTTGTTGTACTGTTTTGTATTTCTCCACCTGCAGGCAAGGTTTTCTTTCTATTTTGTTCTTCTTGTTAACATGGGAGAGTTTTGAAAACAGCAGTCTCCTCTCGGCAGCTGAATTGCTATCACATCACTACCTCATTTTGCTACATGTACAGACAGGCCCACAGGTCCTCTCCTGAAAGGGCGGAGCCTTCGGACGGTGCTGCTGCCACAAGATCTTCTCCGTAGTGCCTTCCATGAGACCAGGAGCCTTCCAATAGCTGCTTGCAGGTGTTGTATGCACAGTTTATATGTGACACTGTTATGCACTCAGCCCTCTGTCTGCCTTAGTAGACTAACCTTAAGTGGACTCAGTTAGCACCTATGACATACACAGACATACAGATATGTTAAGTGCCATTGATGATTCTAATTACAGAGATAGAAATCAATCATGAATATATATTCAGGTATTCATTTTGGTTCAATGCTTAAATGGATTCTGGGGAAAATACTAAATGCTGACAGGCAGTAACTGATTGCTTATGACCTTGCTCGCGATGACTGTCTGTGACTGCGCATGTTCCTGATGTCAGCGCGCTTGCGTTAGATGGAGAACATACTGCATGGTGTATCCATATCTGTTACATTAGATACTTTTTGGAACTTCACAGCCTGAGAAGGCCTATTGTTTAGCTGTAGGAGGTACATTTTTGCCTGTGAAAATCCAACCCACATGTTCGGGCCCAATCAGAATGGTGTGATGGATATAAGACAAAGTTTGATGGAACCAATAATTCTGATTTATTTGCAAAGCGTCATAGTGGGTTTAAAAACCCTATGTCTCCTATTGTAACCTTAGGGAGAGCTGTGGGTATTCGAGGATTCAAAACCTTGTTATGCCCGTATTTTCCCTCCTTTATTAATACAGTTTTTAGCCTGGATTCTACTCTACAGGACTGTGCCGAGTGCTTTCTCAAATTGGGCTGGGGAAGCACAACCCCGTGACGGAGTTTCTGTCTTACACAGGTGAGGTGGCTGAAAGTGGCAGGGTGGCCTCATGGTCAGAGTATCAGAACAGGGCAGTGGGGGGGGGGAGACCTGGAATCAAGTCTGCTGGGTGACTTTGGGCCATCCGCTCACACTTCCTGCCTTGCCTACTTCACGGAGTTGTTGTGAGGGTGAAACGGGGAAAGGAGAAATATGCCTGCCACCTTGAGTTTGTTGGAGGAAGAACAGGATGAAAAAAGAAATGCCATCTACAGAGAAAGGAGCAAACAGGCCGGACTTGTGCGTGGCTTTTTGTATAGAGACGGCTGGCAGTGTTCATAGAGTGGTGACAGTATTGGTCCGGGTAGCTGAGAGAGCCAAAGTCAAACCATGCAGTGAACTTTGGGGGGTTGGTTCTTAGTCTAACCCCGCCCTGCAAGGTTGTTATGGGGGGCAAACCTGGTACGTGTCTATGAGCTTCTTAGAGGAAAGCAGGGATAAAAATGCACTCAATAAATCAGTTGATTCAAAAGGGCATGGGTGCCCATGGAAACAAGACAGTATTCCCATCCCATGAGGGATCCCGGCCTCCCGTTCTGGAAAGCAGTGTAACAGTTCCTGCTTTTGTGTGTGCGTGCGCGCATGTATGTATCCGCACGCAAGCATGTGTGTGCAGGGCTTTTTTTGTAGAAAAAGTCCAGCAGGAACTCATTAGCATAATAGGCCACACCCTGACACCACAGCTCATTAGCATATTAGGCCACAGCCCCCTGTTGCCACAAGTGTGGTCATCCAGCCACACCCACCTTTTGCTTGTTATTCTGTTTACCTTGTTTGTTGTCAAAACCCAGGGCTTTTTTGTTGGAGGAACTCCTTTGCATGTTAGGCCACACACCCCTAATGTAGCCAATCCTAATGAGTTTCTGCTGTTGGGTGTGGCCTATTATGCTAATGAGTTCCTGCTGGGTGTGGCCAACTCGGGAGCCAGCCGGAACTCAGTTCCTGTGCGTTCCTGCCCAAAAATAGCCCTGTGTGTGTGTGTATATAAGAAAAGCCTGTAACTTACTATCAGCTCGTTCCGAGTACTGCTGGGCTAATTAGATTTTCCTGGAAATGCATTCCAGGGCCGTTGTACACTGCGCCATTCTGTTGCTTCCTCAAAGGTTTTGAAAAAGTCAACCTGGCATCTCTTAAAAAAAAACCTTCTCAACAAAAAAGAAGCAATAAATGACTCCTTGTGGTGGACGAAGATCGTTTGGGGACATGG